CCCCAAACTTAACTCCCAACCAATGTGGGACTTTGGCATTTTGCCAAACTTCAACAACTTGTTACCTCTCATGAGCATAAGTCCCGAGTAATACATGTTACCTCTCATCAGCATAGGTCCCGAGTAACTCGTACTAGTAATTCAACATTGAGAAGCTCCTAAAAATGCGAGGCCCTGTTAGTTGAGAAATATAGTCAAATATAGTTCAGGAAGACGTCCAATATTGCATATTCCACAGCTTAAACCAAACAATTGCTTTCACCAGAGGAACAATGAAGTAAAGGAGCAATGTCATAGGCCCAATGTTCAAATAATTGCAACAACATATGATTACTGGGGAAATAAAGGTATTAAACTATCAGCCTGGCTGTTTTGGCAGTAAAGTAAGTGCCTAACCTTTGGATCTGTCAAAGTATTCGATTTGGCATATTCTTATAAAGGTAGGAGAAATTCGCAAAGTGCAGCTATCTGTAGCTGCTGCTCTGAAGCACGCGCTTCTAACGTGGCCTATGAATGTTTTTCAACCCATGAAAAAGGCCGCGATTGCAGCCCTTAGGCCCATGATCGCGGTTTTTGAAGCTAAGTGTACTGCCTCAGCAGCGCCATATGGCGAGCGATTGCATCACTATTGTAATGGACAGCTGGTCTAGTATGCAAATTTTGATATAGTAAGATTTTGCTTCTAATTCCACTGTGGGTGGGATTATCAAAAACTGAGATCTGAATTGCCCTCAAGAAAGGAGGAAAACTACTGAGCCTTATTGCAGCTATGAACTTCCAGCCAATGCAAGGGAGTGACAAAGCCTAGTGATTTACTGCCACAAACTTTTCGACATGAAACACTCGAGTTGAGAGTATCTGATCAAAAGAAGTAAATCTGAAGTTCCTAGGTTAATGTTGGGTAAAGAAACATACCATGCCATAGCTCTATGTCTAATCACCTTAGGGCTAGTGTGCTACACCAGGTTGAGCACCAAAGATATATTATATAGAAAGAATTACAAGAAAATACATATGACTTCACACCATAATAAAAAATAGCCCATGTTTTTAAGTTTTACCCTACTTAGCCCATACTGTACATATTTTGAAAGTACTAGTAAATTCAAAATATATGTTCTTACAATCATTTCTTCTAAAAGCTATGGAGTTAAATATGTATTCTCACAACCATTGCTTTCACTCTCTCTTCTTCTCGCATCTTCTACATATGCTTCAAGGGACCATGTATTTTCTGCTTCTCTCCCTGTGTCACCCGGTTGTAATGTAAGAAAATTGAAAAGTAGAAGTCCACCATTGAAGGCCATTAAAAGTTTTGCTTTCGAAAATATGATTTTTTGAGTTTGTTAGTTGTTTGGATTGGGTGTTGTTCCAATTGACTACAAATATCAAAAGGAGTTCAAGATTTAAATTTGAAGTGATTTGGAGTAGATTTGAGTTAAATTTCATAAAAGACGCAAGGAAAAAGACGGAGTCAGTTTTTTGTATAATTTTGTATACTAGTGTATATGAGTGTATAAACACATCTTATACACTATTATCCACTTTTATACACCTTTATATAAGCGTATGTAGATGAACTTCTTCCACGATTTTCAGTTGTAATTATTGTTCAAAACCAGTTCAAATCTCCATTAAATGACTTTAAATTTTATATACAACTTCCTTATACTATTTCTAACAAGTCTAAATAATACCCACTCCAAAATTATCATGAAATCAAATTTGGAATTTAAACCCACATATTTACGCTTGTTAAAAATTTAATTTTCACTACTCAAGTGGATTTGGTTTGTTGAACTAATATTTGAGTCACAGTTACAGATTTGAAAGATAACTTAAAAGCTTGAACAATCTTTTTTAAAAATTAAATAGTAATTTCGAGAACCTATCGGAGTTGAATATTGAGTATTAGTCTATTATTTTTGGACTAGTTAGTTGTAAATTGAAATATGAGCTATAAAATTAAAAAGTAGGGAGCTTAGTTGTTGTTATGCGAAATTTTCCCTATTATATACTGCTCCAGTGGGGAGTGCTAGAAAGAATGTGAATAGTATCTCAAAAGGGAGGAGTCGCTCATTGAACGAAGACAACTTTTTCCTCCACTTTATTAAGTCATCCTCTAGTGGGCTGCTAATAAAGAGCTCGTACAAGGGGTTGGACTTGCGCACACGAGAGTTGAGCCTGAAGGTAAAAGAGATGGATTTGCTCCCTCCTGCGTGAGAGATAAACACGAGCCTCAATCCAAGGCAACGAAACATCCTCTTTTATTTCTGCTTCTTTTCTGGATTTTCCTTCGTAGTTTTTATTGTTTCTGCTCCTAGTTTATACCAGAAGAACTCGTATCAAAACCTGGACAACACTACTATTGGTGAAATATCCTTAAAGATAGTATCCATAACACACCTCAAGCTTCAACGATTACTGTGATTCTCCAACAGAGAATGACAAGTGATAATAGTTTATTCGTCGAGCTGCAACAAATGCAAATGAGCATATACTAAAATAATGTAGCTCTGACAGAACTCAGAAGTACTAGAGCTTAATTCTCTCAACCTCTAAAATTAAAGCCGTGGAACCAGTTCAGAGGGCTCCATTGTTTGCTAAGGCTTGATTTCAGTATATGTAGGAGGTAATGGCTACTGACCAGAGGCGGATGCAGCATTGTGGCACCGGGTTCATTTGAACTCATGAATAGTTTTGACGGAGCATAAATCTAGATCCACTCCTTACCACCAGTATAAACTTTGACATGTTGGAAGGAATAACAGAACTTTCAAGCACATACATCGACTAGGGAACTGTGTTCTGCAAACAATTGTACTACCAAAAGCTCAGGCCAATGAGATTAGAAAAATACCTAGGAATTTATAAGAGTAGATGGGAAGTTAGCCCTTGTTTAGGCCTTCCACGACCCGTTCTCTGTTAGAACTTGCTTTACTTTGGCAGCAGGGGCGGATATTGTGAACAACGGCTTACACCCTACACATGTGTGTCAGAAGGCTCACTAGATAAGTACAAATAATAGATTTCGAACCAGGGAAACTAGACGGGATGTGGTATAATTCCGAATCCGAATTCATAAACTTCAAATCTTGGATTCGCCTATGTTTGGCAGTATCTGCGCTGCCTCTTTCAAAATGCTACTCTCTACTTCAACAGAACCATATAACATATTACTTACAAAAATTTTAAAAAGCAAATAGTTACCATAACATGGGAAAACAGACTGAAGTGCTAAATAGTTTTATATTCCTATCAAACAAGAAAAGATGCAAACTACATGCAGCATAAATTTCTTCTACCGCAGCAGTACACATAATTTAAGGCCAAAAGCTGAATTTATGAACAGAAAAATACCAAACACAGTGTATCAAGTCATCTACTGAACATCATCACAAGTCAAAGAATTTGCACGGCAAATATAGTATCTCTATGCATTTATATTTACTGGAACAACATCATATTTGACAAAAGACTTTCTTTAGAAAAACTATAATTGGACTTCAATCTGAGTATCTACAATACAGAGAAACTACCTCCAATATAATGAAAAACGAATTCTCCTCCTCTCGTTATGTTCCACAGGCTGCTTCCTCAAGTCTTCTAGATCAAACTTATGAACTCGCAAATCCTTTAATTGATATTGCCAAGGGTTAGAACGACTTGAATTCTTCATATACATTAAATGATTGTTGAAATATGTAATCATTTGCTTAGTTGAGAATAAGTTGAGTTTCCTAGGATGACAACTCCATAGTAAAGCATCCGCGAAACTTGGGCATTTCAATGACCCAATTAAATGCACATTTAACACATCAACTTGGGGGATAGCAAATATTCCGCGGCAAGGATCCCAATTTTCCAAGTCGATTTTAATGCAGCTGGGAAAATGAAGGGTAACATGAGACCAAGAGTTCGAGTTAAATAGATATTTCCTCAATTTACGAAACCATAAATCACTTATATTCTCGCGGCTATATAATTCTAGTCGCGAGTGCTTCAATGGGCCAAATGTTTTTGTAGTTTTAAGCACAGGAATTTCATTTCCGACATAGTCAAGTGATTCCAAATTTGGAGCATCAATCACCGTTGTGCCACTACAACAACGAATTTCCAAGTTCTTAAGAGATTGACTCTCGCAAACTTTAGACTTTTCTAACCCTTTACTAACGATGTTATCTAACATCAAACTCTCAAGGAATTGACATCTAGAAGTAAGGTGTGCGAGAAGTCCATCAGATATCCTCACAGACGATAGCTTTAAAGATTTTAGATTCTGACATGCACCAATATCCAACATAAGGGACTTTTCCGCAAGACCACAAAAAACTAAGTGTTCAAGAGTTGGTGCTTGAATTTCAACAGGTTGTTTTTTATCAATATGAATGGAAACCATCTTGATTTTTTGAAGATTCTGCAACTCAATCTTTTTCAATCCAATACAATGCTTAATACTGAAACTAACAATCATGGGACAAGTAGTGACCAGAGTCTGAAGCATGTTGTCGTCTAAACGGACACCTAATAGACAAAGCTCTCTCAAAGAATCGCCATACTTGGCCACGTGACCACTAGATAATGAAAGTTGCATGAGATCACAATCCTTCAGAACCAATTTTCGTAAAGATTTTGCGGCCAAGATAGTGAAAACATGAGGCAAGGGGTATAATGTACGCCCAAAGTCAACATATCCAAACTCGAGATGGTTTACACCATTCTGAAGAGCGATTTTAAGCCACTTATCAATTAGGGAAAGAACTTCACCAGAACTGAAAATAGATAAATTAAACTTCTCTATAGGGATCTTTTTGTCCCTATATCTTTCCATGATTTCATCCACTTTTTTTATGTATTTGAAATCATAAACTCTGAATTCCATATTGGGATGTGTTAACCAAGCTTGTAACCATGATTTGGAGAGAATGGTCAATCGAGCTGCTTCTTTATAGCCAATGTGGGAGAGTATAGTATGAATGAGACAATCAGGCAACATGTCTGCTAACGTTGTTTGGGGCTTGGAAGATGCTACGATCATGTAAAATCTTCGAAGAAAGATGTGATACTTAGAATATATTTAAGGTTTTCGAAATATAAGTCCTACTTCTAGGAGGAAAAGTAATGAAAACCCTAAATCTTCCGGGAATTGAAGTTGCACATAATTAAAATCCTATACACACACAAAAAAATTATTATAAATTCTTCACGATCTCAACAAATATTTCTCCACATGAAAATAACTAGTAGTACTCTTATATATAATAGTGCTAAACCTATTTTCACCAGAATTTAGAAAAACTTATTCTTATATACTTTTGACTACAAATCCTAATTAAAGATAACTTAAATAAATTTACAAATACTAAATCCTAAACAATTTAGGTTTCACACTGCAACTTTAGATTAGGTTTTTAACATAACATCCGAGTCTCTTTAAAATGTGGATTTGTCACATGTAAAACATAACATCCGAATCTCCTTAAAATGTGGATTTGTCACATGTAAAACATAACATCCGAATCTCCTTAAAATGTGGATTTGTCACATGTAAAAATGACCCAATAGTATAAAGTTTCTTTGCACCTATATAACAGTCCCATCGACAAAAATTTCTGAATATAGCTAAGCGTTCTCAGCTCTTGCGAACAATTAAGCTAGTTCTCACGAGAAAAAAAAAGAAAAAATCACTCGTATAGATGATAGATCTATCGGAAACATTTCGAATACTAAAAATCAAAATAATATATTCATTTCGTGATTTTAATGTTTATATTATTATTATTATTATTATTATTATTATTATTATTATTATTATTATTATTATTATTATTATTATTATTATTATTATTATTATATACTTCATGTTTAAAAAATAATGAACCTATTACTACTCGAGAAGTCAAACGATGTTTTTTTACCATGTTTTTGCACATAATGTTTTACCACCAAAACTTAAAGGTAAATTTTATAGAGCGGTGGTTAAATCGACTATGCTGTATAAGCTGGGTGTTGGCTAGTCAAAAACTGCTTCGCGTTCACATACAAGAATTTGGGGGTCCAGTGGAATTGCCCTTCGCGTTCGCAGCTGGAGTCTCGCGTTTGCGTAGTTTGGAGAGAGAAAGCATCGCGTTCGTAGCAGAAGTATCACGTTCGCATAGTGTTATATTGGGAAGTTGAAAAATCGTGCTTCGCGATCGCGAGGCATGGGTCGCGATCGCGATGAAGGAATATTAGAACAGAGCAGAAAGTTTATAAGACATTTTATCTGCGATTTTGAGCAATTTTCCCTCCATAGCTGAGTATTTTGAGAGCTTTTTGAAGGAGATTAAAGAGGGATTCAAGGAGAATTGATTGGAGATAAGATTTTTGAACCTAAAACGTGATTCTATTGTGAAATTAACCTAGAAATTCATGGAATTTAAGCTAAAAATGGAAGGACTAGGGCTTGGGATTTTGAACTTTTGAATTGGGATTTAAAGGACCATTTGATGTCGGATTTGAGAACTTTTGATATGTATGAACTCATGGAAGGATAAGAAACCCGTTGATGTAAAAATTTCTGAGTTTCGAGAAGTAGGACTGGGGCTCGGGTTTTGCTAATTTCGGGATTTTCAATATTTTTTGATTGTTTTCGCTTGAGTTTTGTTTCCTTAGCATATTGTGATGTATTTGTTCTGATTTATGATAGATTCGACGCGCGTGGAGGCCGATTCGAGGGGCAAAGACGTCGCGAGCTAGAGTTGTAGCCGGTTCGAGGTGAGTAATGATTGTAAATGATGTCCTGAGGGTATGAAACCTCGGATTGCACATCGTAGTGCTATATTGAGGTAAGACACGCGCTGATGATGAGCGTTGAGTCGTTTTACTATTGGGGATTGTGACTTGGTCCGTCCCGATTGATGATTTTACCGCGTATTTAACTGAAACTTATTTGTTATCATCATGATTTGGGCTGATTGCCATATTTGGGCTTCGTGCCAACTATTTGAATCCTCCGGGGATTTTTATCACTAATTCCTTACTGTTTGACTTATTACTTGAGCTCAGTCCTGTTGATATTTTACTATTTTACAAACTCAACCACTTTTATTCATATTTGAAACTTAAATGATATTTCTAAATGATGTTTTGTGCTGAGAACTATTGTTTTACTAATGCCCGAGGGGCTTGTGATGATTTTCGGACTGAGTGAGGCCAAGGGCTATATGTAAGGATATGCTGAGTGATATGAGGCCAAAGGCTTGGGATACTTTTATACGCCACGAGGTGGCTTGATATAGCGCTTGGGCCGTATGAGGCCCCTCCGGAGTCTGCACCCCCACAGTAAGCGTAGGTACCGATCATGATTTGAGAGTGAGCCTGAGGGGCTGATACTGTACTGAGAGTGAGCCCGAGGGGCTGATGCTGTTCTGAGTGATTGTTACTGTGCCGAGGGGAAGATTTCTACTTGTTATTTACCTGCTAAATTACCTGTTTCACTTGGTTTAAAAGGATTTCATTTGACTTCTTCACTGATTTACTACTTGATATAGAATTGATTTGTGCCTTTACGTGTTTTCTCGCTTTTAGCCATTATTTATGATTATTACTCACTGGGTCGGAGTACTCACATTACTCTCTGTACCGTGTGTGCAGATTCAGGCATCACAGAGTCCGCTCCTGAGTGCTGATCCTCCCAGTCTAGGTAGTGTTTTCGGAGACTACGAGGTAGTTTTTGGCGTGCGCAACCCCCGTGCCTCCCTTATCTTACTATTTTTATGTTCTTGAACTTCTGTATCGGATTTCGTATCTAGTAGACTGGTATCCGGATTTATTAGTTGCTCATGACTTGTGACACCCCCGTTTTGGCTATGTCGGGATGGTTTCTACTGTAGTTATCGTTATTTCCGCAAATTATGGTTATTATATCATGTTTTAGAACTATTTATGGTATTTAACTGCTTAAATGAGGTGTTCTATTTTGGTTTGGCTGGCCTTGTCTTTACGAGAGGTGCCAACATGACCGGGTTCGGGGTTAGGGTCGTGACAGGACAGGTCTAACAGATTAAGCATAATGCTTATATGAATGAATATTGTGGGCAACATTAAGACTTCTCTTCCCAAAACTGAAAGCGCGAAAGAACTTTTGAAACTTGTGGAAGAATGCTCCCAAACTGCTGATAAGTCTCTTTCTGGGACACTAATGGGTACTTGTAAGCGTCTTCTCAGGTACACACTTCGAATCTGTCTGATGTAACTGATGTCGAAATGAAA